AGACAGGTAGTAATGAGGTTCATTTAGCGATTGGTTATATGGCCACACACTAACTTTAGGGGAACCCACACTGGAAATGTGTAGCTACATATTAACATCAAATGGCTCAGAAGACTGATGACATATATACAAATAATTCAGCATGTAAGATATAGTAATGTAATCATACTATGTGTTCATGTGGCACCCATTGTCATAGTTTTATATTTTACATGACAGGCGATATAGGTTTTGTATACTAGCTACTCTAAGTATACTGCTCTATGCATTTTCATATATTTAAAGATAAAACAAGAAGGAACCAATGTAGAGGTCTTTTGTTTATTTACATAAGGAGAGGTGGGGTAAACAAGAAAATGCTAACAGCCTGGAGGGCTCTGTGAAGGAGCTATACTGTGCTACTCCATTTTGCAAAATAAGCTGTTTAAAAAAAATACCTGTGTTTACACAGTTGAATTAGTTAAAAGTACTTTCATTTATGGGTGACATGTGTCCCAAGAGAGAGATTTCTGTGTTTTAAACTCTCTATAGGAATTATGGAACTTGAGGGAAGTTTTAAGGGAAATGAGAAGTAATATGGGAAAAAAGAACAAGAGTTTTTAATTGTTTCCAAAATCTAGTTTTCAGCTAACCACTGAAGTAATCTGTTAGTTTTACTAAATAACATTGTACTCAAGTAAATTTAATCCCAGCTAACTCAAGCGGAATCTGCTTTCCCTTGGATCAAAGGTGAGATCTTCTCTGATTCAATAAATTTAAGACATTTTAAAACAATGTTTTCTCCATGTAAAACTATATTCTATTTTAAGCTTTGGCTTCTGCTTCATTTCAGTGTAGTATATTATTTTCTGTACAGCCTTCTCCAACACCCTGTGCCCTCTGGTGCACACAGCCCACAGCCTCTATGTACTAACTGTATCTTTTAGCACTCCTACTTTGCAGAAGTTTTTGTGGTCATTTGGTCACTTCTTTTTCTAGAAACACTGGGCATAGACCAGGAGCTTTTCTTTTTAGACAACTGAGTGTAAGGCAATTTGAGTGACTTGCTAGTTCACCTGGCATCAAGTTATTGAACAACCAAGCCTAGAATCCGGAATTCTTTTTACACTACAGCACAGAAAGACCGGGGATGCACTGGAAGATTGGTGCATTTGGGAATTGTTCAGTCTTTGCAGAGAATGGCTGTGACTGTGTGCCAAACATAGTCACCAAAATTAAACTTTGCTTTTAAAGCTCCAGAGCAAGGATGGAGGTCCACACTAGGCTCAAACAGGTAAGCGCTGCTTTGCAATGTGTTTCATTCTTTTGTAATGGAATGCCAAATGTTTTATGATCCTGTGTATTTTTTTCTTTCAAGGCTTAGGGTTTTATTTATTTATTCGTAATAGATTTATTTATTTTATGTGTATGTGTGTTTTGCCTGCATGTGCACCCTGTGTGTGCCTAGTGTCATCAGAGGTCAGAAGAGGGTGTTAGATCCCCAGTAACGGAAGTTAGAGATGATTATGAGCTGCTGTGTGGGTTCTGGGAATCGAACCTGGGTGGTCTTGAAAAACATCCAGTGCTCATAACCACGGGGCCATCTCTCCAGCTCCTAGGCTTAGTTAAGAGTTTCAAAAGGTTAACATGTCTTCTCCCATTTTTTTTCTTATTATGAGAGTGAAAAATGGTCATGTTCAAATATAATCAGAAAACACACAATAGTTTACAGAAGTCTCCCTAAAACCTTTGCAATAAACTCTGGTAAAAACCATGGCAATAGGCATATCTAGCAGAATATTAACATGCTATGAAACTTGTTCTGCAGCTACATTCACTTATACCCTACACAACGGTAGCTTCTCATTTTCTCTCAGTGAATTTTTATTAATTTAAATGAATAAAAACTTACTATGTACCTGGCCCCATTTTAACAAGTTCATGAACAACGAACTTCTCTCATTTACATAAAAATCTCAGATGTCATTGGTATTGTTATTATGCTCCAGTTTTCAGATTGGTTTTTAAAGAGATTCCATAACACTCCAAAGATACACAACTAAAACATTGCCAAAGTAGAACTCAGTCCTAAATAGCTAATCACCCAAGTTTGTATCACTACCAGACAAGTCAGGATCTACTAAGCCATATACTTAAAGGGACTGGACACTTATTTGTTGACTAAATAAATAGTCTTATCTCTTGAGATTATTGGCAACATGGAGCAAATCAGTAAGCTGCTTTGTATCTTAGCTTTCTACTTTATAACAAAATAATTGAAAATTTTTCTCTCCTTAAGATCAATTAAAGTACAGAGAATCTATCTAACTTCTATGTTTTTTTATGTCTTTAAAATGGTCTTGATAATTGAAGGCTAATGGCCTAAGTAGATGATGAATGAGATTTTAACAGTGCATCATAACAATGTCTTTTACAGCCTCAGAGAACGGTTTCCTTCTATGTGAAATTTAGCTCCATCTTTGACCTCACATAGCTCAGCCGAATTAGAATTTGTCTGTAGGAAGCAAGAGTCAAAAGAAATGAAATGTCGTGTATGGCTCAGATTGTCTCTTTAAAAACCTAGATAATCCAAAAAGGCTTTCCTTTTACATTGCTCTATTTCTGATACCAAATTATCACAGCTCAGTTAATAAGAACATCGCATCCTGTTCCAAGGACCCTTAGCCCATTGCTACCAACTCCCTTCTTTATTTAGACCTTGTAAATTCCAATTTGTCTCCCATTATTTGTAAACATGGCACAGAAATAAATTCAAAGTAAGATCGGATACTGTTTACAGCTACAGAAATTAGATGGTTCAAGAACTCTTGTCATGTGACCTTGAGTTACCTTAGCAACAGGAGACTAAGGTGTAGTCGCTTCATGAACCTTCAGGATAGTTGTGAGTGTTAGGTGAGCTAGGGAAACTGCTTTGTAAACAATACGTGTTTATGAAGAGATTAATTTCAAAGATTACTTCCCAAGTGCCCCAAAGACAGACAATTACTTTTGTGTCATAGCTATGTGTAAAATTACCGTGTGCATCTTCAGCCTGGGTTTCAACAATGAATGCATTAAGACAGCCTAGGGTTTTAAAGGCTCAGTGGTGAATTATTGAAGGAGAAGGGGAGAGAATACAGTTCTCCAGAAGTCTGTGATCATGGTCCTATACAGATGAGCTGTTAAGGTCTATGGAGTTGGTTCTTAGTGTTTCACATAGAACTAAGACACTAGGACTGGTCTGCACAGCCACTCTATTGACCGTAAGTATTTATTAAAGACTGGTGAATTGTGTGATCTAGGGTGAAAGATGAAGTGAACATAAGGCCCTGTGTTGCTATGAATAAACCAAAGACAAAGTTATTGGCAAGTCCAATAAATGGATAGAGAAGGACATTCAGGTAACCATCAGCTGAAAGCAGCTGCAGAACCCGCAAAGACTTCCTAATCTTCCCTTTCCTGCTTAAGCTTCGGAAGCTACATTAGGCTCCGGTGAGGTGCATACAGGAGGTAATGAGTGCGGCCGGCCGGGAGTGCCAGGTCCTCCAACCTATTTAAGCATGATCCTCGTTTCTGTGATCCTCGTTTCTATGATCACAGCCGCACATCTTGCCCTAACCATCCATCTGACACCGTGCAGTCAGTCCTCCGAGGGCATCTCGGAAGCAGGGTTTTCAGAGTGGAAAGGCACGCGTGGCCTCTGCTGCAAAAACAAAGCACAGTGTGCTTGACACACTGAGGCCGCATCACTTTCATATGCCAGGAGCAGGTTATTATAGGAGCACAGACTGAGAACGTGCAGCAGGGTCTTAATAACTCAGAGTGATGACACCACATTGGGCATTCCTGGAAGCACGCCCTGTCCCTCTGCTCTCCTTTGGGTGGGAATGCTGTTCACAGAGGTTGGTCTCTCCGGGGGGTGTGGGTACTGTGCTGCGGTAGCCACCACCTGTAAGCCTTTAAAGTTCAAGGAAAACTCCAGAGAAATGTGAGCAAGTCTTTATTCCTCGCTCTCAGACCACCTTCCCAAGAGAACCCAGGGTTCCATAGACCAGACAATAAAAAGAAAGAGTCCATACTTCATCTGGGGATCACAGTTGGGGGTGTGGGTTCTGACAAACATTATGAGCTGGGAAGTGAAGCGGGAACCGCGCATTTCCTGCTTCGCTGAGCAAGCTCAAGCAGGGCCAAGCGGGAAGGAGGACTTGGTCTTAGAGTCGCCAGCTGCTAGGGTGGGGTTTGGGGGCAGCCTGAGAGGAGCCGCTAATTTGAGAGGGATTCGAACAGTTTCGTGAGATCTGCCAGTTTAGGATGAGCTCCCATTCTTGTGGGGAATGCGTCCCTGAAGTTAATCTTGGGGTCAAACTTTCTAGTTCCCGTGGGAGAAGTGGGGGTAGCCAAGACTGTAGGGTCAGGCCTGAGGGTCCTGGGTCCCCGTGGGGGATGGTGACTCTTTCTCACCACTCTTTCTTTGCTTTCTCTCCCCACCTGCTCCTGAATTTCGATCTCCATCCTGGACCCAAGGGAGAACCAACCAGGGACCCGGGATAGGCACAAACGGTAAATAGGGGAAGGTCGACGGCGCCCGTTTGGTGCCCGGGTGCGACGTGCCAACCTGCAGCGTCGTTCTGCGTGGCCCTACCTGGGAGCTGAGGAGCCGGGGCACGACGCTCCGCGCCGTGCCGCTTCCCTCGTGGTTCCCAGAGGCAGCCGCTGCGGCACTGTTTTTAGGCGGTCCCGCGGTACTATTGTCTCTTATCTTAGAGGCCTGCAGGGGGCTGTCCCCAGGGTGACCGCCCGCGATCCCCTTTCAGGCCCCATGAACTTGCTTTCCAGAGACCACGGATTTGCCTGGGTGCCCACGGATCCTGCGCAAGTGAACTCGAATGTCTTTTAACAGGCTCTGGCCATCCGAACACCAAAACCAAACCAAACCAAAACACAAAACCTGCGAGAAATCATTGCTCACTCAGAGGCCCTCGGTAGAGCGTGGCTTTGCTCTTCCACAGTTGATCACCTACCCGCTTGCTACAGGCCCCAAGCGGTCTCAGCTTGTTACTTTAGTCGCCTTCTTGCCCAGCCTTTCCAGCCTAGGGTCCCGCTTGGGGATGTGGCGCAGTCGGTTATTCCCGCAGTGTGCGAGTATGACACCGCTGCTAGCTTCAGCAGACGGGCGCGCCAGGCTCGTACTCCAGATACCCACCCCCACACCAGTAAATCTCTAGAGTTGAGGGAAGCAAGGCTTGCAGGAAGCCGCTCCGGATGTTTGCTTCTTTACATGTGGCATTTGTGGCTGGCTTTGATAACGTCGTGAGCTCCGCTTCCAACACCCATTTAGTGAAGAAACTGAAATATGGTCCACTCACACCGCGGGCGAGTCTGCGGTGCGGTTGCCCCCAACACTCCTCCCAAAGTATCTGTCAAGAGAATGTTCAGCAGAAGTTAGATCTAGGTAAGAGGACGGGAGGAGGGCTAGTCTCGGGAAAGCGCCACATTTGCTGCTAGATTTGTTAAGTGAAGTGCTACCTTGTGATTCCAAGGGAGGTTGTCTTAAGAAATGGGGAAGAAAAAGCCAAAATGTGGACGCTTCGTGCGCGTTGTGTTTTCCCTCACACAGATCAGTAGTTAACCTACAGGCACGGACCCAGTGCAAATGACGGTGGGGTGAGTGGTCTTGGGCTCTCTTTCCCACACTTTCTCGGGCATTCTAGGTTCCCCTCACCGTCTGAGAACAGAAAGAAGGAGGAACTCAGGCAAAACTGTGCAAATACATTTTCTAGACCTACACCTGAACTATCTTGAGGAAAAATCGGTCAAGACAGAGAAAATGCATTGTGGGCCCAGCGCTGCTTTCACTCTTCATTCCAAACAAACCGTTTAGTTTATATAAGATTTCACAGAAAGAGAAAATTCAGCCCTGTGATCTTTGAAAAGATGTCTGTTACTAGCTGTTAATAGTCCACTGTGGAGGTCAGGGCCGGTGACACTGCGGCTGGGAGGCAGGGGGATTACATAGGAAGACCCTCTTTCAAAACAAATGAACAACAAAAAGATTTTTTTTAGAAAAAAAAGGGCATCTGGCTGGGGGATTAATGTGTAATATTGTTGTCTCTACCCCTACAGTTTCATTACTTAAACATTTTTTGTTTTACTTTCAAGTCACTGTTTTTCAGAAAGCTTCAAGGAAAAGCAAATTATCTGTTAGATTTAAGATCAATTGCTTTCAAATCACCAATTAAAAACAATGTTTTCTGTGATTTATCGAAGCAGATTTACCAAGCAGATTTACCACTCCCCCGCCCCCTTGAACCTTACAGATCTGGGGCTTCAACTATTGCCTCTGCTGTTGCTGCACACTACCAGTTGTAAACAAGAGGGACAATCACCATTGCTTTTACAACATAACACATTGAAGAAAAATTGGCTTCTATGTGAGCTCTTTGAAGAAAAAGTAATTCCAGAAACTGCAGGCCAGGAGCTGGCAAAATCTGTGAATTTTTGGAACCTTCGGTTAGCCAGACTTCATCTCAGAAACAACACACAAGAAAGCCTCAACATGTAACCCCTCATAGACACATCAGGACCACCCAGGCCCATCAGTTAAGTGATACTTTTCAATCAGTCCTTCATAGTAAACAAAATTTGTTTTGGAATGTACTATGTTGAGTCCTCCTTCCCCCCCCCCGCCCCGCAGCCCCCAGAAAGCTCAAGCTGGCCTCTAACTCCAAATGTAGCTGAGGGTGATCTTGAACTTCTTATCTTCCTGCCTCCACTTCTCAAGTGCTCAACTATGGAATCACAGGCATTAATTAGCCTTCACATAGACTTTCTTTTTGTTGAGTTCTTCTTGCCTGCTAAGTGACAATTTTGAGTTATGTCCTCAGTCCTTAAATTTCCCTTCCTCAAACTCATACAGGTTTGACTATGTTGCTTCTCTTAGAAAACAGCACCAAGATACAAACAAACAAAAAAAAATGCAACTCTGAATTTGCACACTTTTGCAGCTTCTGGTCTGAAGGCTGGCTGCTAGCTGTGAGTAACATCCTCCCAGTGCAGGGACTAGCCTCTCCGAATTTGTTACCTCTCAGAAGTTATAATGCTGCCCATTCAAGAGACTGGTTAGGGGCCAGGCGTTGGTGGCGCATGCCTTTAATCCCAGCACTCGGGAGGCAGAGGTAGGCGGATCTCTGTGAGTTCGAGACCAGCCTGGTCTACAGAGCTAGTTCCAGGACAGCCTCCAAAGCTACAGAGAAACCCTGTCTCGAAAAATAAAAACCAAAAAAAAAAAAAAAAAAAAAAGAGACTGGTTAGGGGTTAAATTAGTTTGCAAGGGTTCTGAAGGTGCTGAGTGGTGGCTGGGGTAAGCACTGTAGATCCACATGTTTAGAAGCCCATAGAAAAGTACTTTCAAGTCTGAAATTTAAAGGCACTCGGGTTTTTCTTTCCAGTCTTAAGAAATACAGAAATGCTGCTTAGATGGACTGACCCTCCTCCTCCAACGAATATCACAGTACTGCTGTCTTTGCATTTTATTTTATATTTTATCTTTGTGGTGCTTGGGATGGAGCCACGGCCTCTTGTAAGTCTCTAGAAATTAAACCAGGTCTTGCCTCTTTTACTGAACACACATGAGCCAGAGGCTTTTGTTACACGTATTTTATGTCTGATACAGAATTTCCCAAGGGTTGACTTGAACTTTTAATTCATTGAGTGATGAAATATTGGTGATGTAAGATTTCATATTAAACTTTAAAAAATACAATGTATCCAATTTATCCTCGACATTTTTAATATAATGTAAGCATGATGCGTTCTTGGGAGAACAACAGGATTGTTTTTCCCGAAAAATCATATGAAGGTAATTCCCTGCGGTAATAAAGGTTTTTTTTTTAATGGAACGGAAACCTAATATGTTATTGTGAACTACCTTATGGCTAGTACTTCAATCTTCCGGTACAGTGAGGACCCCTAGACAGCTGAATTTCACTAGTCCTATTTCCCCGAGTCGGAGAGGACTTGGCGCCAGAGCCCGGCTCCAGCCAGTTTTTCCCCCTGGCAGGTGTAGTCAGAGCGCTCAGTCGGGGGAGGGGAAAGGGGCGGGTGTGGGGTTGAACTGGGACTTGGGACTCGGACCACCGGCTGGGCGGGTGCCTAACAACTAGGGTCCGGCCCGCCCCCGCCGCGCCATTGGCCGCATCTATATAGAAAAGGGCCGGCGGCCGGGGGACACCCACAGTGTCACTGGGTAGACCTCGGGCGCGTGAGGCGCGGTGGGTTAGGACTAGCCCGGAGAGCAGCGGGAGGGAGGTTTGAGACCTCGCGGACTTAACGCGTCCCTCTGGGCATCCCTAGGCTAGCTCCCCATCCTTGCCTCAGGGTCGGGGGAAGCGGCTTGTTCCGTGGCGGGTAGCGGAGCGCGGGGTCGGTCTGGAGCGCCATGAGCAGCCCGGATGCGGGATACGCCAGTGACGACCAGAGCCAGCCCCGGAGCGCGCTGCCCGCGGTGATGGCCGGGTTGGGCCCTTGCCCTTGGGCCGAGTCTCTGAGCCCCCTCGGGGACGTAAAGGTGAAAGGCGAGGTGGTGGCGGGTAGCGGGACGCCAGCCGGGACCTCGAGTCGAGCCAAGGCTGAGTCTCGCATTCGGCGGCCGATGAACGCTTTTATGGTGTGGGCCAAAGATGAGCGCAAGCGGCTGGCACAGCAGAACCCGGATCTGCACAACGCGGAGCTAAGCAAGATGCTAGGTGAGTCCGAGCGGGGGACCCCAGCCACCCTGAGAGCCCCAGCGAATCGCTTGGGCCACTTCCTAAAGCCAAAGGGTGTTTTTCGTTTTTCTGTAGTCTTGCGCCCGACAGAATGGGCGTGCTGTAGACGCTGTCCCTTCCTCCAGCTCCCCCTCTCGCCACAGTGGCATTTAATTTTGGTCTTTGAGAGCAACGAGAGAATATTAGGGTTTCTCAGCGCTTCAGAGCGGCGACCCGGGACACCCCTGGCACGACTCCTTCCTAGCTCAGGGGATTTTGCTTGTTTTCCGAATTAAGGGGAGATAAGTAAGGGAGGAAGCCTCTTCTAAGAGGTCCGAGATTTTAATCCTAATTCGACGTGGCATCTCGCCGTCTAGAGAATTGAAGGCTGGAGAGGGGACTGGGCTCGGGGACTCAGCCAGGTAACCCCACGGGCCTCTCCACTTCCCCTGCAGGCAAGTCCTGGAAGGCGTTGACTTTGGCGGAGAAGCGGCCCTTCGTGGAGGAGGCCGAGCGACTGCGGGTGCAGCACATGCAGGATCACCCCAACTACAAGTACCGGCCGCGGCGGCGCAAGCAGGTGAAGCGCATGAAGCGGGTGGAGGGAGGCTTCCTGCACGCCCTGGCCGAGCCTCAGGCCGCCGCGCTGGGCCCCGAGGGCGGTCGCGTGACCATGGATGGCCTGGGCCTGCCTTTCCCGGAGCCGGGGTTCGCGGCCGGCCCGCAGCTGCTGCCCCCGCACATGGGCGCCCACTACCGCGACTGCCAGGGCCTGGGCGCCCCCGCGCTCGACGGCTACCCTCTGCCCACTCCGGACACATCCCCTTTGGATGGCGTGGAGCAGGACCCGGCCTACTTCGCTGCCCCGCTGCCGGGAGACTGCCCGGCGGCCAGCGCCTACAGTTACGCGCCGGTCTCGGACTACACGGTGCCCGCCGAGCCGCCTGCCGGCCCCATGCGAGTGGGGCCGGAACCCTCGGGTCCTGCGATGCCGGGGATCCTGGCGCCCCCCAGCGCCCTGCACCTGTACTACGGTGCCATGGGCTCCCCCGCCGCAAGCGCCGGGCGCGGTTTCCACGCGCAGCCCCAGCAGCCGCTGCAACCGCAGGCACCCCCGCAGCCACCGCCGCAGCAGCACCCGGCGCACGGCCCGGGGCAGCCTTCGCCCCCGCCCGAGGCTCTGCCCTGCCGGGACGGCACGGACCCCAACCAGCCCACCGAGCTCCTAGGGGAGGTGGACCGCACGGAATTCGAACAGTATCTGCACTTTGTGTATAAGCCCGAGATGGGTCTTCCCTACCAGGGACATGACTGCAGTGTGAACCTCTCAGACAGCCACGGAGCCATTTCCTCCGTGGTGTCCGACGCTAGCTCAGCGGTCTACTACTGCAACTATCCTGACATTTGACGGTTGCCGACCCGACCCGCGGGCCAGAAGCAGTGTTACACACTTCCTGGAAGTGCTAAGGAAATCCTTAGCGTCGAGCTGTTTTGTTTTTAAGTTGCCTTGGCATATATATAATTTATGGTAATTTATTTTGTCTGCCACTTGAACAGTTGGG